TCGGATTTGGCGTTGCTCTTTGGCGTTGATTGTTGTTGTGATTGTTGTTGCTGTGTCGTTTCGTCCATGTGGACACAAGCTTCCCCACCGGATTCGCATCCGTGGCCGTTCCTTCCCGATTGGGCCCGATCCAGGGCGCCCCGCAGGCCGAGGCCCAGCAACATCCGCTGGGAAGGCGTGCCGCGAGGGGTGGCCGCGGCCTCTTCTTCCACTGCCGAAAGAGAGGAAAATACCAACGGGAGCAGCCCGCGCCAGAGGACCCCCGGTCGGTGGCACAATAGGTGGAGGTCTTGGCAAGGATGCGAATCCGCGGATTTCGCGTCAATGCTTTCTTCTGCTCCTGGAAGGCGATGGTGGTGGCGGTAGTGGTTCCTATGGCAGTCTAGCAGGTAGGGGAGCACCGAGGAATGCTTGGGGATCCGGACCAGAACGCTAACGGCAGCGGGTTCTTTCCCACCCCGGTGTCCCTGCGCTTGCAGTTGCGTTTGCGTTTTCCTTCGCGCTCTCTTCCCGCCGGTTCGCGCGGTCCCCAGCCGCCGGTGGTGGTGGATCCGGACCCGGTCGACGCCGGCTTTGGTGTCGTCCTCGTCCTTGTCCCCGTCGAAGGACGGAGCCCCCGTGCCCTCCATAACAATGCCCGCCCGGCGTTCGGAACCAGCGCACACGCTCCTTGCGCAAGAACGGATGCCGAGAGCCGTTTCTATTTCCGTCTCTGTCGATGTTGCTCCCGGAGGTTCAACCCACCGCGTGTCCCTGCTTCGTTGAGTTTTGCGGGAAGGAACCAATGTAATTCAATTCAATCGGTCGCGTGCGTCGGAAAAGCAGCAGACGGTGCTTGTTGGTGTTGGTGCCAACGCGACGTTGCTGATGCTACCTTGACGRCGGGACAACTTTTTCTATCAAAACAATGCAGCCCACTTTTTGGTTGTCTAGCGTGGCATCGCTCTGGAACAGTTTCCGCAGTGTTGTGTGTGCTTTGGTTGGTGCTGTTGCGAAATCTGACGACTTGTTTGATGTTCTTCCTTTTTTGCATCTTCGTCTTTTCAAAACGGTGAGGCGTATGGAAATCAAAATGGTATGGTACGTACGTACGCGCACGATGTAGAAGGAATACGTATCATCGGTACGAAAATATTATCACTTGCCTTTTTTGTGGTACTAGTACTAGCTATTACTTCATATTATTGTTATAGTACTAGTACTACTAATAAGAAGTTGTATAATAGTACTAGTAGTAAATAATAGAGTTGCAAGAGTAGATAGCAAATAATTGTTTGCCGCTGCCGTTGTTGCTATTGTTGCTCTCGAAGGGCAGCGGTGATAAAACTTCTTCTTACTACTACGATGATGCAAAAACTAAGTTATTGCCACAATAATGACTGAATGTTTAAGTTAAAAATGAATAATCTGTTTTTGGTCAAGGTACTAATTTATTTGCAAAAATTAATATACCAGGGTTTACACAAATCCACACAAAAAACAAGTTTCTTTTTGTTTCCTCGGTAAGTCCAGGGCTGAAAGAATTCTTCAAGGTTAGTACTGGCTACCGTGAACTATAGCCAATTTTTCCTTGTGACAGAAAATTATATGGTTTCCTTCTTACTACTACTAGTACTACTAGTAGTAAGCTTCCATAAATTATGGATCATGATGCTTCTTCTGACTGATGGAGCTGTCCATTGTTCTTCTTCTTCTACTATTACTAGTAGTACCCACTACAATAAATACTACAAGTATGTTCCTACTAGCTGCACTTCCCTCCAAGGAGCTTTGGTGGAAGTGCAACCAGGGATTGGTTTTGCTGGCTTTGAAAGAAATGAGTCAACTTGGTTTGTAGTGAATGTAAAGGTGTTACAAAAGGAGCCAAAGAAGTGTCTGGCACTGCAGGTTGTTTGTGATTTCTCTGTTTGGAGTAGGAGGTGTCAAAGACCAGCTAATATTGTGTGACACTCTCTGGTGGCTGTTTACTACTATGAGGCAAAGGTTGGAAGTACTGGGTAAGAGGGCATGTGTTGGAGGTTGATGTGAGCAAGGCCTTTCTAACACTTGCAAGGACAGTCTTTTCATACTAGATCCGGTGGTAATATGTGAGCAGGGAAGTAGATGCAGTATCTATGAATGTCTCCATATCTTCTGGGAAGCAAGCATGATGTCACCATTGCACACATTCAAGGTTTCTTAATCGTACTTTTTGCATGCTTGCACCAGCAACAACAGAAGGACACCACCAGCAATACTAGTGACAACAAGAAGAAGAAGAAGGATGAAAATACCAAATTTGCAGAAAACACAAGAACACACCAGTAGCCTGTAAACTACTCATAGCAACATAACTTAAATTACTACCAGTAGTACTACATGTACTACTACTACTAATACAAATACTATTTTGTTTCCAGCATAAGAATCAAAAATGTGGTGAGGAGGATCAGCATCACCACGGCGATACAAGAAGAAGCAGCAGCAGCAGCAGCAGGAGCTAGTAGTAGTACTACCACTACTAGCAACACAGTCATGAACAAGAACATCGTCAAGCGCAGGAAGAGGAAGGTCTAATACTACTAGTAGCTAGTAGATGTGATATTCCTTTCGCCGTTGGTACTAGTAGTAGTACTACTGCTACTACTGTTGACAACTAGTAGGATTCATTTAATTTTACCTGTGTCGTATCTTTCGCGTACGTTTTTACCGTACGTACGGTACCACGATTCATTGTTTTCGAAACCCTTGCGATTTTGAAACGTGGTACCCAAGAAAAGAAAATCACTGGACTAAGTCCACTTCGTTCTTGTAGTTAGTTCTGACCCAAACATTGTGGTTACGTACATCAGTGCAATAGTAATACGAAATCATAAATAAAATATATAGTAATACAACAACCCAAATAGTAGAACACGTTTAAAAAGATACCACAGGCAAATCGAAAGCTACCTCCACATTCGACCATGAACACGCAGCCATTGTCAAGTTTTCTCAAGAAAGAAAGAGGGACTATTTCCCTTTTGGGACCCGATATCGACCGGGTTGCGAATATCGCATGCGAGGCACGGAAGAAAGCTCCGTTGGTCGCCACCGATGGCAGACATCTCCAGCAGCACCGAGAAGAATATCTATCCTCCAGAGTCGTGCCCCCGCGGTTTGTGTCGCAGAGGATCATACGCGACGGAAGTCACTGGCACATGACCATCGTCACGAGACACGAACTGCGCCAACTCGTGACCCAAAAGGCCGACGAAGATAACGGTGACGATGATAGTGATGGTGATTGCAATGCTTCTTGCACCAACAGCCAGCACGAGAAAAAGATCGTCCGATTTTGCCAATCGTTCTTGCACGAACAGTCGGAGCGTGGAAAAGATTGGTTCGTCCTCGGCATTGGAAGGCAATCGAAAAGACGAGAGTGGGACAGCGGTAGCAGGAAACAACAATGTTATTTCCTTGTGTGTTGCTATCCAAAGGCAGACGCATTGAGAAAAAGGTTGGGCCTGCCCCCCAAGGATTTCCATGTCACCCTTGGTTTCGACGGAACAGATATTCACGACGTCCCAAAGGGAATAACAACTCTCTTTCAGAATCAACCCCTTTCGCTAGTGCTTCCATCGTCCCCGACCAGAGTCCTTTCGACCCATCTCGATCTGATAGAAGAGGCAAGAATTGTCATACTTGGAGGGAAACCAAGCGAAGTGATCGACAACAGCGAAGTACCATATACCAGGAAAGGAAGGTTTCAACACGCCAATGTTTTGCTGGATGCTGCCGAAGACCTGATCCATCTGCGAAGTCCTCGATCGGGACCTTCCCGAACCCGATTCCGCAAAATGAGAGAATCAATGATTCCTTCTCATTACCTTGAACATGACCTGAGGCGTCTGATCCATCTACTAAGTCCTGGATCGGAAGGAGAGAAATCAAGGATTTCTGACTACCTTGAACATGACCCGTGGGTATCTCCCGATCGCCACACGAGACTCATCGGACAACTATTCCTAATGCGGTGCCAGATTTTGGGGCGCAAGAGAGATTTTGATGGAGTCATAGATTATGCGGAAATGCACTTCGAATTGGAAGCCACCGTGAAGCGGAATCCCCAATCCAACCCAACAGATATTGCACAAGCGGCAAGCGCAGCTTGTGGGTACAAGGGTGTCGCTCTCTCCATGAAGGAATCTTGGGACCCCGCCTACGCATGGCTTATTGCATCGTACCGATTGTACCAAGAATCATCGGTGCAATGCAAGGACACCTCGAGCGCAGCATGTTCGAGGCGTACTAGGGAGAGCAAGTGCATGGAAGACGAAGCCGCGGCCATCGAACGGGCGCTTGCGTTTTGCTGCAGCAAAATAGGATTCGAGCCCCCGATCCCGCCACTGGTTCCCTTTCCCCGTACGGCACATTTGTTCGACACCGGGGGAACAGCCGTGTCCAGCGATGATTTGGTGGTCTCCGGGAACAGCTGTTTGGTGCGTGAATTCTGCAACGGGACACACGAAGTCGTTCTGGAAGAAAAAATCGACGGAGCCAACCTGGGATTCTCGCTCTCGGCCTCGGGGGAAATACTGGCGCAAAACCGCAGCCACTATGTTTCGGGAGGAGACCACCACCAATTCGGGCGGCTAGAATCATGGATTTCCGAGCATCGTTCGTCGCTCGTCAAGGTTCTGACCCCGTCGGATCAGAAGCCTAGAGCCGCTAGCCAGGGACTGATTTTGTTTGGTACGTCAGAGTATTTTTGAGTCGACTATGCCGTGTTTCTCTTTTCAAACCATTCCTCATAGTTCTATCTTGTCGGCTTGCTTGAACACTATAGGTGAATGGTGTGTTGCTCGGCATTCTATTCCGTATGGTAGGCTACCTGGATACTTCATAGCGTTTGATTTGTACGATCGCCAGAAGCAAAAGTTCTATTCCCGGAAGAGATTCCACGACATCCTGCGTCACAGCGGGATTCCTTGTGTTCCGGTTATTGAAGTGAAAAAGTTTGGTCCCTATCCGAACCAAACTGTGTCGAAGAAAGCAACAAATCCAAGCGAGTTCGAGTCGCATCTACGGTTGCTGTTGGACACCAGGTCAAGGTTCCGCATCGATGGTGGCACAATAGAGGGAGTTGTCTTGCGAATCGACGACGGAAACGCGGAATGGCTCGAGCACCGCATGAAAGTTGTGAGGCCCGACTTTGTTCACGGCATTACGGAGCATTGGACACGCCGCGACATGGAAAAGCAAACCATTGACCCCGGGTTTGCAGCGCAGTATTGTTCCGAGGAGGATTGCTCCCTTGCACCGCCGCCACCGCCAACACCACCGTTGGATGCTCCGGAGATTGTTCCAGAAGAGGAAGAACACGGGTCAAAGCAAACGACTACCGAGCTTCCATTTCGAGAACCAATCGATCCAAGGAGGAGGTTGAAGGTTTCGAGTGGATTATCAAAGGACATCGTGATGCCGAGAAATTTCTCCTTTCTCTGGGAACAAGAGGTTGCCATAACTTCSRTTCCCACGASTCTCGAGCAGGTAGCAGCCTGGAACGAGCATTTYMATACTACCCTGGTGGTCACTCTGATGGAGGAGAAACGTTTGCCGGATTCGTGGTTCGARAACACCAAATGCCAAAACCTGCATGTACCGATTCCGAACTATCGGCCTCCGACCCTCGAGCAGATGGATCGAATCGTAGAATCCATCGAACGCGCCGTGCGAGGGGGAGGTTCGGCCGTGGTCCATTGCGGTGGTGGCAAGGGCAGAGCCGGGACCGTTGGTGCTTGCCTCTTGCTGAAATTCGGAACCCTCGGCGTGAGAGCATCTCACGGCGGCAGTGGCGGTGGGGCAGAGACCACGGGGGCAATGTCAACCCGCTTGAGCTCGTCGGCCGCCACCACCTACATTCGCAAGGTTCGACCCGGTTCCATCGAAACCTCGGTTCAGGAATCCTTCGTGCGAAGCTACGCCAACGTGCTCTGGAGGAGATCGATGCCGGGCTTTGGTGACCTCCCAACCGAAGGTGCCGTTGGAGGATCATCCTCCACCTCGGTGACGGAATCCTCTTCGGRTGCGAACGAACAAGCAGATGCCGCTCGCACATCGTCGGATTTGAAACCACCACCACGCGCCGGCAAAGCAGGGCCGAGCAAGACGGACASCAAGACCGAACTCGAACGAAAGGTTCAAACCTTGCGGCTCCAGAGAAAGGCGCCGAGATGCATCGTCTGCATGGGACTGCCCGGAAGCGGAAAGTCGACCTTTGCCGACCGCCTGGCCGGGTCCTTTCCCCCCGAAAACAGCTGGCTGGTCATCAACCAGGACARGCTCGGAAGAAAGGAGTGCGAAAGGCTGGCGGRAAAAAGCAGACCCGGGACCCGGGTGATCCTGGATCGATGCAATCCAACGGCTTCCGACCGAGCAAAGTGGCTCGAGCTGATGCRTTCGCCCCCCAGGKCCGACGTCTCTCTCGTCTGCTTCACGGCGGATGCCTCGGTCTGCAAACAGCGGGTAAAAGGCCGAGAGAACCACGAGACCATTCCAAGGGGCAGGGGCGGGCGCATCGTTTCCGAAATGGCGAAGAAACTCGAGCTTCCCAGCGAYGCCGAACGGAAGCGATTCGGATCGATCCACTTCGTTTCTTCGTTTGACGATGCCGAAGGACTCCTGTTCTCGCTTGGWGCACGATAACAATGCATCAAAAYGCATGGCAAAGATAAGAATCCACTTCCAATCTACGTTTTGTACTTCGAGTAATTCTCCTTCTTGTAGGGTACCACCTGCTATTTTTTGGATCAACGCGAACAATCCAACGTTGCATCGCACGTTCGAAACAAAACTGTCGTGCCCCGGGCCTTTTTCCATGCCTCGCCTCGAATCCTCYSCTAGTCGTAGCCAAAGTCCTTCCGTGTCATTTTTTTCAGYCGGTCCCTGAGATGGCGGTCCCCCTCTTTTTTCTGGCTTCCGTGCTTTCCACCCAGGAGGTCGTCCCAGTCCAGGGAGAGCCGGCCCTGGTTGTAGGTGTTTTGKGTGGACACCATCGGGCGATTGACCTTTGTTTTGGTGTTGGAATCTCGCTCTTGGTTTGCGTCCCCGGCGTCSMYGTGGCAGGCCTSTRAGAGATTCTCCCGGATCGTTGCCTCGTGGCGCTGCTCGTTTTCGGTTTCGTCCAGAAAGCCGGCCAGTTTCGCGACGGCACACGGGGTGGCTCCCTCTACGGAAAACACATCGTCGATGTGCCCGTCCTTCTTTGCCCCGAGCATAGCGGTGTTGTATTCGTAGACATAGTGCCCCGCGGCCTCGATGCACGAAGGCTTGGTCTCCCCGGAAGAAAAGGCCTCGCTGTGGGGAAAGAGGGCCCTGGCGAACAGCAGAAAGGAGGGCTGCACTTCGCCCGCCACGCCTCCGATGCAGAACTTGGTGACGAGCGACTCGACCACCCGGAGGGGGTGCCGGACCTGGAGCAAGTGCTTGCGGTAGGGGGTGGTGCAGCCGGAAGAGAAGGAAGACGACTGCGACGACGACRACGGCGAGGAGGAGGAGTCCCGCAGGCCGCAGCCCCATTCTCGCTCCAGCAGGGACTCGCACTCGTCCCTCCAGCAGGCGTTCCAGGACTGCCGGAGCGAGCACCTCCCGCCGTCGCGAAACATAAAGGGGTGGAAGCCCATGTTCGGGTGCAGGTCCCTGCAGAGGCTGCCGACGGCGTACCGAAAGAGCAGCTCCCCCTCGACGGCCATGCTGCGGGGACCCCCGCTCGCTCCCCCCGCTCGCTTGCCCGCCGGGAGCTCGATCGACAGGCTCCCGGGAAGGTCGATCCCGGGCCGGGGCAGGAAGCGGATCCCGTGGAACCAGGAGACGGTCCCGTCGCGGACAAAGCTCCACAAGGTCTCGGAGTTCTCGTGTCCGATCTCCAGTCCCAGCCCGAGCGGGGGCTTGCYKGCCAGGTCGTGGGCCAGCTGCGTGGTCCCGGAGCTCATGGTTCCCACCACGAGCACCCGGCGGGGGTCGGCCTCGCCCACGGAAGGGCGCAGCAATGCCGGGGACACCCAGCTGCTCGCGGGGGACAGCGACAGCCATTCGGGCCGCTGGAGGAAGACAAAGAGGTAGGCGTTGCGGAGGCCGTAGGGCAAAAGGACGAGGGCCGTGACCAGGAGGAAGATTGCGAGCTCACCGGGTCCGTTCTTCGTTGTGGTGGGCGGGGAAGGACCGGGTCCATTCGCATTCGCCTTCGCATTCGCGTTTGGATTAGCCTTCGCGTTCTTCGCTGCACCATCGCTCGGTGCCTTCTTCTTGGGACTGCTCCTGTGGCCTTTCCCTCCCCGCTGACGCATCCCGTTTGGCTTCGACTTGGGCTTTGGTCTGGAACCGTCCATGCTAGGCRTCGGCTTGTATCTCTTGTCGTGGGTGGTTCTTTGAATGAGATTGTGTCTTGATTGGTGTTGTGTGGGCCATCGTCGGCTGCTTCTCTTCGGTCTGGCGGCAAGGCTCACAAAATACAAATCTTTCACGGGTTTTCCCTTCGACTGCCAGTAGTACTACCGTACGTACAGTGCGCACCACTATTCCACTTTCAATCCAACGGTCCGCGCCTTTTATTTAGTCGAGTGAGTCGAGTGCAATGTTCAATGTTGTTTTCTTCGAAGACGACCCCCGGTTCGGAAATTGGCGCGAAATGCAGTATCTTGATGTGCAGTGATCTCTGCATCACCTTCCATCAACCATCGACTACGAGTACCATGCAGTCAGGTCAACACCAGCTTCCGAAGATCGAGACACCCAAAACCAATTGATAAGAATCTGAGAATCCCGATGATCCCTCGCATCGTCGCGTTGCACTTATTCTGTTTTCTATTGTGAGCAATCCACGATACCAGGCTATCTATCTATCTATCTATCTATCGTTTTTGTATCCCAAGGAGCCGAAACGATGAAATTTGCTGTTTCGGCTCGAGCTGTCGCGGGGCCGACAGCCTATCGGTTTGCGAAAGTCGGTTTTCTGTTCTTTTTTGTTTTTGCTGTAACAAACAAAGCTAGTGCTGCGACAGAACCAACAACACCAACTCCCTCGGTTGCTTCCTCCACCACCACCGTCTTGGATAAAACCATTCCTAATGTTTTCGATACCGACGACGAGCACCAGCAACCCGCAGATCCTACCAGCGGCAGCGGCAGCGGCATCGACCAGTTGATACACGAGTCTCTCGACGAGATTCTCGCGGCGATGAAGGAATTCCATTCGAGGGGAACACCGGGGCGGCCCTTTGTGACCCTCACCTACGCCCAGAGCATCGACGGGAAAATCGCGCTCTTGCTGGATCGAGCCGCAAGGGGTGCCTCCCCCCGCGCCGCCGCCACGTCGTCGAACTTTGCCATCAGCGGCCACGRGTCCCTCCGCCTGACCCACGCGCTGCGGTCCGTCCACGACGCCATAGTGGTGGGGGGGAACACCCTGGCCGTCGACAACCCGCGCCTGGGCAACCGGCTGTGGAAGACCACCGGTGCTTCCGATTCTTGGAGCGACCGTTGCGGCAGCGGGCACCAGCCCCGCCCCGTGGTGCTGGACACGCACCTCCGCTCCGTGAGAGCGCTGGGAGCGGCGATGCGGGCMRAGCGGCCGATCGTCTGCTGCAGCAAGGGCGCGTACGACCGGGCCGTTCGGGAAGGCTTTCGGTGCGACGCCGGCTTGGGAGAAAGAAGCACACGCGGCGGCGGGGGCGGCGGTCCCGGGGACGAACGGGTGGCCGGGAAGACCGGCRGCCCCGTTCCGTCGTCGGTGACTCTTCTTCCCTGCAAAACGAGAGCAATCGGTGGACGAGGAGAAGACCCAAGAATAGTTCTTGATTTGCCGGACGTCCTGTCGGCCCTGTACCACCGGTWTGGAATCCACAGCGTCATGGTCGAGGGAGGGGCGTCCGTCATCACCCAGTTCGTGACCGGCACGCGGGACAAGGAAKGCGGAGAGAACCACCCCAGCGAGGAAGACCGTTTCGGGCTCGTGGATCTCTTGTGCGTTACCATCTCTCCCAAGCTGCTGGGGTCGAGCGGGTTGGACTCGATCCTGTCGCCCCAGCCCGCCACTCYTCCGCGGCGAGGGCCCGGCCCCCTGCGGTGCATCACCCTCGGCGAGGATTGCGTCCTTTTTTCCAGTTGCCGGTGATGGGGATTGCCGCGGAGAAAGAAAAGACGCAACGCAATGCAACACAGCATGACACGATACAATTCGATGCGCAACAATACCACGCGGTTCGTTTTCCTTCGCAGCAGGTGGCCCCGCTGGAGGAGCATGGATGCCGAACCCTGTGGGATTTTAACCGCAACGGAGTCATCCGCGTCGCAATACTCGCAGCGACCTTTGATGTTTCTTTTCCTGYTGTTCGTCAGTTCTCCCTCACCAGCTGTAATCCCAAAATGGAATGAAGTTATYATTCCATTGCGAGGCACACGTGGACCTTTGTTCAAGGCAGCTCTTTAGCATGAGGTATTGAAATAGTGGCATCGAAATGGTTGGATGAAATACAACAAAAGTGTGGATACGGAATACAATGGTTGAAACGAAATATGTTTTCGAACGAAACAAACTTTTCCGAACCATACATAGTTTCCTGTGTTATCAAAATAACAAAATATGACGAAGCAAACACTTATTTTTATATACTTTGTTTKTGCAATGCTGTAGATAATCTCTCTATTATAAAAACTTTGTTGAAGATAAATTGTGAATTGCTATGTTGGGATTATGCGTTGCGCCAAAACGAATTGTCGTGTTTAGGCGTCCTCCGACCAGACTGACAATGCATCCATAGCAACCTTTTCTTGCTCACCAGTTGCAAGGTCCTTGATTTGCACTTSTTTGTTTTCGAATTCTTCGTTTCCAATAATGGCACAGTACTTGGCACCGAGGCGATCCGCATGCTTAAARACCCATTTTGGCTTTCTTGTTYTTTCCAGCACGAGCTCGACCTTTTGGCCCGATTTTCGCAGCGTGGAAGCAACGTCAATGGCGGCCGGGTATAKGTCTGCTCCCATGGCAAAAACRACCGTATCGATTCCGCTCGATTCRAAAGAGGGGAGGAGGTCTCGGTCCTTCAGCAACTCGACAATGACGGCATCTCCGAATCCAAAACCGGCGGCCGGTGTCGGTTGGCCTCCAAAGGTCTCCAAAAGCTTGTCGTAGCGACCACCCCCGGCAATGGCCCGGAGTACACCCTTTCGATCGAAGGCTTCAAAGACGGCCCCCGTGTAATACGAAAGTCCGCGAACTACCGACGCGTCGAAGATGATCCAGTCGTCGATGCCGTAGGCCTTGCAGAGTTCCAACAAATTCGCAATCTGCTGGACGGCCTCCGAATCTTCCCCGAGGACTTCGCGGATGCCTTCGACGGAATCGACCGTCAGGACTCCGGTCAATTTCTCGACTACGCTGCGRTCGAGGCCGATTTCTTCGAGGTCTCCCTGRATRGCGTCGAGTGGAACCTTTTCGAGCTTGTCGACCAGCACACAGGTGGCCGCGAATTTTTCCTCGGGRATGCCTAGCTCGGTCAAGACCTCACCGATGACGAGTCTGGAGTTTACTTTGATGCCCACRTCCTCGCTGGTMAGACCCACGCTCTCGAAAAAGGTGACCATCGCACTGAGGAGCTCGGCATCGGCTTCCTCTCCCGCAATGCCCCAGATGTCCATGTTCCACTGAAAGTGCTCCCGCCGGCGTCCCCGGGTCATGCGCTCGTACCTCCAGCACTGGGGAATAGAGAACCACTTCAGGGGAAGAGGTAGGCCGCCCTTCTTGGCCATGACCATTCGAGCCAGGCTTGGCGTCATTTCCGGCCGCAGCGCGACACGTCGYTCTCCCTTGTCCTCAAAGTTGTAGAGTTGCTGCGTAACTTCCTCACCTGCCTTGCGGGTGTACAGCGACTCGCTCTCCARAACGGGGGCATCGTACTCCGAGAATCCGTATTGCTTGGCGACGTCCCTCCACTGGTCGAAGAGCCAGTTGCGCAGCCGCATGTCTTCCGGGTAGAAGTCCCGGGTGCCCTTGGGTGGATTGGTGTCGAGTTTCGGCTGCTKCTTCTTCTTCTTTTTGCCCCCCGTCTTTTCGARTACGTTCTTGTCCTGGACAGACGCCGACACACGGCCGCCGTCGGCGAACAATCTGGTCGAGGTGCGCAAGGCTGCTGCTGCTGCTCCCCGYGCYGAGCTGCTGCTCTTTGTGGTAATGGCGGGAGCCAAGAACGCGGTTGCCAAACGCTGCGATATTGTCGTGCTGGCTAGAAACATGATCCCGATGGAAGCCGAGGACGCTGGTGATTTCATAGTATYTGCTTGTTTTTTGTTGGTGYTCGTTTGTTCCTTGCTGTCCACYAGTCGTTYCTCCTAACCTTCGAAGCTGCTTCGTAGATATTTCTTTGAAAGTGTGTATGTATTGAACGAGTGCTATTCGAAAGAATTGCTCTATTTCGGACTCGATGGTGTTGCAGTTGTTAGATAGTACTACTAAGAATCAATTGGGATGGCAAGGATATTTAGTGGTCAACGGTTTTTTCGTCGGGGATCGCGTTGATGAGTTGTCGGCCGCCGTTGTTGATGTTGGAAGAGAATGGGGGGGGATACTTCGATTCGATGACGCGAACAGA